CCCCCGGCTGCCTGCCCGCCGTATGTGATACTGTGCCGTTGCGCCGGCGGTTCCAACGTGAGTGAGCCATTTCGCAGCTGCGGCGGTGCAGCTCGCGGGCCGGACCTCCCCCTCCCTCCGCTACCTCATCCGGCACACTGTGGGTGGAGTACGTGCTTTCTGATTAACGAGAAGCAGTTGGTAGCATGAAACATGTACGCTGCACAAGAAACCTCGTTTCTTAATTTGTGAGTTGGGAGCCAAATTGCGACCCTTTACATTGAGAGTGTACAGACGCTAATGGGTTCGAATACCGCACGCAAACTGAGCTCGGGGGAGGGGGAGAGGAGGGCGTTGAGACTGAGAGAGAACCTCACTACGGAATCCTAGTTTGCTTCCTGGTTAGCTGAGAGGGGCATTCTTTCTTGTTCCAATTAAGGACGGGTGAGTAGCCCAAAGCTCGCGTGTCGCGTTCGTCGCACAACAGACTCGAGGGTATAAGAAGCGTTCCGTTCAAAAGGAATTTGTCGTCCAAGTCGATGATGAGTCTACCGCTGTACCCCCACGTTCCGCCCATAGCAACGCTCCGCCACGCCACGCCGCGTGATCTAATAAAGGCTTAAGCGGCGCGGCCTTAATAATGCTATCCACCTGGCCGCCGTGCTCCGCTCTGCCGCTCCGCCGCGCGCCGGGGGGTCTGGGGGGTCGCAAATATAAAGTCAGCGGGGGGCGTAATCCAGTTCATCCCCTCGGTTTGCAAGCAGTCACCACCAGACCAACGGTGGTGGGGCGGCAGCGGCGGGGGGTCACCCTCCGCTTGGGAAAGCGCCTTTTCAGATCCTCTAGAGTTGCCGCTTCTGCCTCTCTCTCTCTCTCTCTCTCTCTCTCTCTCTCTCTCTCTCTCTCTCTCAGCTATTCAAGAGCGACTGGCTAGACTGCCGCTGTGGCGGTTGTACCCCTCTCGGATTGAGCGCGCGCGGAGGCGTAGCCGGGGCTTTTTTGGAATTATTTCCAAGCACAGACTGGCTGTCTTACCTGTCGGCTGGGCTGTCGGCACTCCCTCCACTGCCCCGCCTCGCCTCCCTTCATTCGGTGGTGGTTTCTCTTTAACGCCCTCCTCCTGCCTCTATCCACCTCCCAACCTGGTGCCTTATTTAGAAAGCTTCTTGCGACACCGCAAAGTAGTTCGGTTTAATTTCAGACCTTCCTAAACGCACTTCAAAAACTGATGACTGGCGCTTTAAGCATATCGTTGGTCGTGAATCTGCATTGAGAGAAATGGATTGGACAGGCCTTGTGATAGAGAGCAGTATTTGTCGTGAAGCTCCTTATCAGCTGTTTTCTCAGTTCATGAGTCTTGAGAATATCTTCGCCACATAATTGTGCTCCCATTTAGAATGTGGATTGACCCACATTCGGTCACGCTCTAAGAAAAACTATTAGCTAGCTAGAGTAAGTTGGAAAACGCAATCCTAGCTTAAGCCTCTACGATCGGATAATCGGAGCTGACTTGCAGTTCAGTAAGATTCAGTAGGAGCTCAGTTCATGATCAGCTTGAGTTGGGGTGCTGATGTGTTACTGATCTGAACTGAATCGAGAATCGAACAGCTATTTGCGCCCGAAAACCATTTAACTCTGGCGTGAAGCCAGCTACTACAGCTTCCGGACAGTTCGACTTAGTTAAAAGCGCTCTAACGAGAGCTCCTTTTTTCCCTGGGTAAGGAAGAAGCCGTTGGGAGTCTTTAAAGTTTCAAGGGTAAAGAAAACATGTTAGAGTGGACATTATAAATGCATTTTGCGGCTGGTGAGGAAACCCCTAGCACCTGTAGAATATGAAGCACATGTTTCAGAGAGAGAGAGAGAGAGAGAGAGAGAGAGAGAGAGAGAGCAGGGGGTTACGATATTACGATATCTTCAGCAGCGATCAGTGCCATTCCTTATGTTAGGTCACTTGCTAAACTTTCGAGAATCGCGTGTTCAGAGATGTTTTCCCTGCATCGTACTCTTGAAATGTTGTGTGATTGTGTGTGTAAGAGAGAAGAAGACAGAGAGGGAAAGAGAGAGAGAGAGAGACGCAAAGGAACGCAAGAGAGAGTAAACAAGGATAAAGAAGAGATGTTCATGTTAGTGTGCGGCGAGGGCCTGAAGTACAGTAAGTAGTTGCTGGGAGAATCTTGCGACGCCGCAAGAAGTCTCTCTCTCTTTCTCTCTCTTTCTCTCTCTCTCTCTCTCTCTCTCTCTCTCTCTCTCTCTCTCTCTCTCTCTCAGCAGGTCGTTGGAGATGTCTTTGAGGTTAGAGCTGCTCGGCGCCGGGCGACGCATGGCATGGTGAAGCTTGGCGTTTGGCGTGGCTTGGCTCGGCGAGGCGGTGAAGCCCTGCGGGACCCGGGTCTCGACGACGCTCCACTCCCTCTATCTCTACGAGCTCTTGCTTGGCGACGCGCTGCTCTCCCGCGACCCGTATTTATATTTGTCGTAACGGCTAACGACTGGTCCAATGGGTGCGGGCGGCATTAGGCTCGCCGGAGGGAAACCGCATCGCCCCGCGCCGCCGCTCTGGGCGAGAAAGATTGGGCGAGAATAAGGAGAAAAGTGGAAGCCGCCCTGGTTAATTACCAAGGCGCTGAGCCAGCGGTGAACGAGAAAAGTCTCGTTGCTTTTGTTTTTATTTGCTGTTCTTGTTTTTGTTTAATGAAGGGCCTTCAACAAACTACCCTTCTCTCCCTCTCTCACTCTCTCAGACTCTGAGAATGGAGTGGTTGGACATAGCACTTTCAACAGAAAATGAACGTGTCAGTACCACTGTAGGCATGAGTTTCCAGTGTTGCACCAATAGATCAGCCCTGTCGTCCCTGTCGCGACAAAATGTCACGCACAAATGATTATGTATCGTGTAGTGTAAAAACCACATCTGCCCAGCAGCAACAAAGTGGATGAACTGGTTGTTACACACTCTTTTGAGTGTGACAGTTTTGTTTGCAGTTTTAAGTATTTGCATGTCACAGACTCACAGACACGTACGCACATACGCCTGTTTGTTGAGTAATTAGCTTCATGTCATTATATCAATCCATATGATCACTGATATGATTGATGTGTTGCAGCTCCTGGCAATTTGAGGGCTCACGTAGCTACACTAGTGTAGGTGGTGCAAACAACAATGACCTACATTCAGGCAAAAGTTATGTTAAACAAGTTGGAAGCGAAACGTAACCCTTACACGACACAACGACACACCCCACCCGGTTGAAGTATAGAAGGAAGTTCAGAGCTGATGATGAAAAGCGCTCGGGTGCGCGGAGTGCGGCCGTGTTGACGCGCGCGGCATGAATCTGAATCCGAATCTGCATCTGTATTCCTTTCCACTGTTGCGCTTAATTGGCGGGGTATGCAGATGAGCGCGCCCCGCCGGCCTGGGCCCCGGCCCCGCCCGCCTTCACGCGGTGTACCCGAGGGAGGTTGGGCCGGCCGCCAGCCAGGCTGCCAGCCGCCTGCCCTGCCAAGAGCCGGTCGGCTCAGCCAGCAGCCCGCCCAATCAATTTGAATTTCTCGTGCTGTGTGTGCACGTCATCTAGGCAACCTCCTCGTCTACTGTCACACGTTTTTATTACACCGTTCTTCGCTGCCCACGAAAGGCGGACCGGAGAAAAGAGAGGGCATTTCAAATGATGCCTGAACTTATAGTACACGATAACACCCCAATAACTTTTTTGAACATCGAAAAGTTGTTTGCTGTAACAGAGCAAGTCTATCACTGGGCAGTTGAGTGTCATCATTGTGATAGTTCTGTTTGTTTTTTCTTAAACTTTTTTTTTTTGTTTCCAGGCACACAACAGGCTGGTGGCGGACTTAGACACCATGGGCTTCCAGGTGGAGGAAGCCCAAAGCTTTGCCACAGACGTTTCTGCTGCCATCAAAAAGCTCAAGGATAAGGACATCCGAATAGTTCTTGGGAATTTCAACGAGACCTGGGCCAAGAGAGTATTCTGTGAGGCGCACAAGTGAGTACTTTCAAATGATTCCGTGTCCTATAGTACGTTCAGAAAGAGGAGGGGGGGGGGGGCAAAATGTTACTCTTTATGAAGAAGTGACAGACGGGCCTGACTCCCTACCGTGCCACTTCAAGATGGACTGTAAGGAGTCAGAATAGAGGGGTTGGCAGCGGCACGAGGGCTAGGCAAAGATGGTTTCAGAAGTCCCCGTTTGACTGGGAACGGCCCTTGAGAGAAGAAAGTGGGAAGATGGAAAGAACAAGGGTCTACCGAGGGCCGGAAACGGGGTGGAGAGGAAGGAGAGAAAAGGGTTGGAGCAGACGGGCACTTTGCCACATCTGGGCCGGGCTCTCAATTCCTTTTAATTATGCGGAAAAGGACTGGGCTAATTGTCCCCTGAACGCGCGCCGGCCACCAACGCTAATCGTCCACGCGGCCACCTACTAACTGAACCCCTCAGTGCAGGCGCTCTCAACGGGACCAACTCTGCAGGCAACCCAGTGCCTAAAACTGCACCGTCGTGGTACAGCTCCTTACAAGTTGAGGGTAGACGATGAGGAAATACCAAGCCACTGTCTTTTAATGTTAAAATTTGCACTTCTTTTCTTTTTTCAAAACAAATCTGACATTTTTACTTTTCTTCCTTTCCTTGGCAGAGTGGGCATGTTCGGGCGCAAGTACCAATGGTTGATTATGGGCGCTTACACCGTGGACTGGTGGAAGGAGACGGATGAAGCGTTGGAGTGCGCCCAGGAAGATCTGAGGACATCGCTGGAGGGCTGCATTCTGACTGATCTGCTACCGCTGTCAACGTCAGGGGAGATCACCGTCTCTGGCATCGTGAGTACATACACCGTCTTGGGTGCTGCGGTTTGCGATACAGCGACCGTGACAACGACCCATCCCCGTAGATTTCCGCAGCAGTTTAGCAGATCTTTGCCTGGTGCTTTGACATTTCATCAGGAGCCGTTCTTCGTTGTCAGATAAACGATATATTATTTGACCCACTCCCCGATGTATTATTAACAGATTCTTTCGCCCAGATGACGTTATATTACCACAGTGGCGGAATGCAGGCGGTGCGCGCCAGCGCAGCTGCACCGCGACGCGACGGCGGGGAATGTTTTAATAAGCGAGCGACACCTACTTTTTTCATGCGCGGAGTCGCCGCCGCTTCTGCACGTTATACGAAAGGGGATAAGAATAGGAAGGAGTGCGGGGAAAACAGTAAAACTGTGTAGGCTAGAGAGAGAGAGAGGCAGGATGTGAAGGAGGAGCCTGTGACAGCATTGGGAGTTATAAGATGGCGTATGCGACTCATACGGAAGCGAAGCATCAACTTGTTGTTATTCCAAAATGCTCCTCACAAGTGGCACGTGCTGTTGTCGCTGGTCGTGCGGTGGGTGTGCATGCGGAGCTGGCTGCAACGACCTAGTGTTGTATTCATACTAAAAGTAAAGGGATTTACCCTTGCCATTCCTGCAACTTTTTCGCGCCACTAGCGTAACGTATCACTCCCTGTGCAAAACAAAAACTCTCTCCTAGGAGATCTCTTCTTTCCGTCGTCTCTCTCTCTTTGTCTTGATCAGCTAATTCGGGCTGTTTCACTACAATATCTGTCGACCCACAGTATAGGGTTAGTGTGGTGGAGCACTTCGAAGGGTTATGGAACCAACGCGAGGACTAGGCCCTGCTACTCTAGCTAGATATTCGAAGCAGTGAAAATCCCAAATTCAGTCAGTGCCCCAGTCCCAGTCCCTACCGCTTTCGCTAGCGCTTCCCCTTCCTTTTCTCTATATCGCCATAGTGCCGTGCAATATTACAGTGTTGGTGCCACCCTGCCAACTGCGATGAAAAAAAAAGGGAAAGAGAAAAGGGGGAAGACTGGAAGGGCTGAAATCGTGGCGTAGCAGCAGGGGCGAGTGGAAAGGATTTGGCCCGTTGATGTGCCCGTGTGTGCGTGTGATTGTGTTTGTGTGTGTGTGTATGTGTGTGTGTGGTTGTAAGTGTGTGTGTGAGTGTGTTTGTACACAGAGAGAGGGCCGAGCGGCACGGGCGCAGAAACGCCCTGCTGAAACCACATTAATTTTAATAATGCGAGTGTAAATCTTGTCTCTTTACCTCTGTCCCGCGCGTGGAGTCGGTGCCGCGGCTGGTGGTGCAGGGGACGGGGGTGGGGGACGAGGAGTTGGCGGGCTGGCCTGGTTGCGTTGCGGTAACTCCGTGGGGCCTTACAGTAAAATGAAGGCATCTGTCACGAACGTCTGGTCGGCGGCACGAGAAAAACGCCCACGGGAGTTTTTCACGGTCGAATTCACCGTTTTCCACAGTATTAGACCAATTTCTAGTGAGATAGCACGGAATAGAGCAGCATGAAGGGGCTAAGTCGTACCTTTGTCATCGGTTCTAAAGAAATTTACCATGAAACATTTCCCGTAACCCTTAGGAGTATTTTCACAGTAATGTTGTGATAATATAAATTATATTTATTTATTTAAACTTCTATTTCATAAATAGATTTGAAATTTAAGAAATCCGTGTGTGCTCGCTGTTACTAGGAAACTCGGCAGGCCTGGAGCTTTTTCGAAACCCTTCAGCGTTGGCGGGGAGGGCTAGCGTAACGCTGTCGTCGTAGCGGCGGCCGAAGGGCTTGATTACTGTGGCCGGGGCTCATCACACATTCATCGCAAATGTTTGACCCGCGCGCGGTGGCTGACCGGCTGTCGTACGAGCATGGTGGGGGTGGGGGTGAAATTGCTTATCTCACTCTCCCACACAGGCGCACTGCCTCTAGCCATGGGTGAAACTGGAGGGGGAGGGGGTACTTCCCTTTTCTTTCTCTCGCTCACTCTCGCTCTCTGACCCGCTCGACTAAGGCTTTTGGAGTGAGGGGGTTAGGGGACGTGAAGGGCGGTGCTAGGCTGGCCCAGCAGTAAAGCGGTCCAACTTGGGGATACATACTCGCAGAGTGTGGAAACATCAACAAACTGTCTCGAGTCTTGCCCCTCCCCATCCTGTGCGTCCCGCTTCTCCAACATTCTATTTAGGCGATGTGAGTCGTAGTGCATGAGAGAGAGAGAGAGAAAGAGCCAAACGACCAGTTTTAACGAGGACCACAACTTTTATTCATATCGGGACTGGGCGTGTGGGGTTGGGAATGGATGAGGCCTATTTCATTAAAAAGTGGCCTGCCGGAAAGAAGTCAGGCAAGCTTTGGTAGCACCATTACTCACACGAGAGAACGCTTTGCTTTAAAATCAGCAAATCATGCTTGAACCACCACCCATCGCTCTGAAGTCAGCACTTCAGGCAGTTCAACCTAAGCTAATGTTTTTGATAGAAAATTAAATAATGTGGCTACCTAGATTTCATGAGCATTAGAATAACCGTTTTTAGGGTCGTTTGTGAATTATTGCCTTTATCAATTCGCTACTAAGGCTCTCAGAGGTGCTGCTTTTGGCATTTTTTTGCCCTTACAGTGGCTTCAGTTTACTCAAGGAGCACAGGTGTTGTATATGGCAGCTATGTTTTCCCAGTGTATCACACTTACAATTGTACTCTTGGAATTGTGAAACACTGGGTAATGCAGTTGGGAGTGTGAGCCACCCGGCATTGCACTCTTACTACTGTTAGACTGTAAACACACATAAGTTTCTAGAGTTGTCTCCCCTGGGACTTTCTCGTTCGATGCTATCGGGATCGGGTCCTCTACTAAGAGCCACACTAAGAAGAGATACTCGTAAACTACATAAAAAAAGTTCTCGCAAAGTAAACTTTGTGGAAAAAAGTACTCTGTTATGCAGACTTTTGTTCAACTTAAAGTGGAGGTGAACAACGTATTATGTCAGATTAGCACGGCGCGCAAGTTGTCTCCCACGGGCGCGGGCGGGTTTGGGGCTGCACAGGGCGAGGAGGCACAGGGCAGAGCGCCTCGTGGCGCCTATCTCACCCCTTTACCTCCGCTGCCGCCCCCCTCTTCCCTTCCGCGGGCCCGCGGAGACCAGGAGGCACAAAACTTTGCCAGTTCAAACTAAAGTATGAAATGAAACGCGGCGCGAGGGACGCGCAGAAAACTGGGAGAGGAGGAAGGGGGGGGGGGGGATAGTGAATTGGCACCACTCTCTGGCTTTTGAAAAAGTTTCCGTTCCACTACTGTTATATCGATAGAGAGAGTCGGGGGATGGGGTAAGGTCACTTGGCATAGCGAATTTGAGTTGTTTCCCCCCTCCAGCACTTTATTATATTCGAAAAATCACTGAACAGCTTCTGTCATTTCCATTGCACTATACTGCACTGCTCGCTCAAACTAAAAAAGAGTTCGAAAAAGTAACCGATAATAGATCTGTAGACCGGATGCCAAGATTTTTTTATTTTATCTTTCTCCTTCTTGTTTTTTTGTTTCTCTTTACTTTCTCGCGACAAGAAATTTGGGATGCAAAGCCTAGTTTACGGGCGGCGAGCCTGGCGCTCTGGCGGGACAACGTCACACGCGCCCGCCACACCGGCTTTGCATATTTTTCGAGAAGGGATCGACTTGGCGGTATCGAAGTTGAGGAAGCAGCGGCCGCCGGGCCGGCCGGGGGGGCTGGCCCGCGGGCCGTGTTCCTCCCCAGTGTCTGCTGCTCGCGGGGGCGCCCGGGCGGGCCGCGGCGCCGACCCAACCCTTCCCCCCTGTCCGTCGCGCCCGGCCCGGTCTTCCCTCTGCTCCCTGAGAGCTGCCTTGATTTATGGGAAAGCTCGCAGCTCCCCTCCTCCCTTCCTGGTGCCCCCTAACCCCCCCC